ATAAAAAAATAAATAAATAAAAAAAAATTGGAAAATGTAGATTAAAAAATAAAGACAAATATACATACAAAATATATAGTATATTAAAATAAATAAATTGGGCAACAAAATTTAGACAGATAAATGTGTATAAACTAAATAACATAAAAGTTCTAAAAAATGTTTATTCTATTTCATAAATATTAATAGTGAAAAAAAAATAACAACCATTCTTTTTAAAAGGATTTCTTTAGTGATTTTTTTTTTTTTTCAAAATGTTTAATGTATACTTTTAAGAATTTATTTAATTCAAATTTTGTTTTTATTGTTTGTTATATATTATTTTGGCATATAATTTTAAAATATTATTTTCGATAAAACTTTATATTAGAGCCTCGATTGCTTAAGCATAGCTCGATAATCAAAAGAGCTACAGTCCTTGAAATTGGTATTTGGGTAATAGGAAAGTATTATTGCCCCAATTTCGGGAATTGTAATTTCAGGAAATGTCGTTCGCCTAATGCCACACCTTAGATAGCAGGTAATGCGAACAAAAGGTGCACTTAAATTAAGAGCCGACCTTTGCAACTCCTCTGACACGCAATTTGTCAGCTGCAAATTGAAATTGAAATTGAAAAATGGAAATTGAAATGTGGTCGAGGGTCGCCTTTGAGATTGAGATTTGGAGGGTTCCAGGGGCGGAGACGTGGTGTCCCCCAGCGAGGGCAGCTCCAAACAGCTTTCGGTGGGGTAGCACAGCTCGTTTTCCAATCATGTTATCAGAGTGTGCGACCTTGTCCATGAATATTTAATTTTTTTTTTCCATTTTTACTTTACTCGTGTTTACTTGTTCGCTTTTTGCCCTTTTGTTTTTGCTTTTGTTGTTGAAAATTGACAATGAGGTCGAATTGTATGGCAAAGTTTTTCATTATCGCCTAAGTCAGACAATGGAAAGGCCACTGAACTGACGACTCGATTGTGTTCACCTGTTTACCCAAGCAAATAATCATAATATGTATACCCAACTACACATATGTATACTATTTAACTCCATACATATATGGAAACCCTCTCTTATCGCAACGATTTGGTCAATACGCTTCGCTGCCTTGTTCTCTATGCGGCGGGCTTTATCTCTATGCATATATGTGCCCAAAGATCGGGAGTTTAGCAATTATTTAAATAGAGCAAATGGAACAAGTTTTTGTTGTCCTCTTTGTTGTTGTTGTTGTTGTTGTTGTTGTTGATTTTGGGGTATTCTTACAGAAAGCGTTCTGTGTCAGTTTGTTGGGGCTTAGAAAGCGTTACGAGTTCGTTTTTGGGGCTTTTGTCTTATCTAAAAGCAACTTTTTGTAAGCTACTTAAGCACAATTATGATATATTATATCATTACATAGACTATGCCGATTAGGAAATGAGAAAGCAAACACGCGAGCTCTAAAGTCTATTCAGAAGACCTGAGCTTTATTTTGAAATTCGTAATTGTGTTGACTTAGACTTGGCAATACGCCAATCTTTCATTGTGTTTATGGATATTTTATTTGAATAGTTTTTCATTCGGTATCCATCTAGAGAAACCTCAAGAGATCACTAATTATATATTGGTCAAGGTTTTTTGATAATATTTTATTTATTTGTGAGAATGTTAAACTTGCTTAAGATTATCCATTTTCTAATAATATAGGTATATGGTTTTTTTTTTTTTTTTTTTTTTTTTTTTTTTTTTTTTTTTTTTTTTTTTTTTGCTTATTTTGGCCTCTCTTCCTCTATCTTGATATAACTAGATTATGCCCGCCCACCTCTGTGTCTTGCTTTCGCTCTCTACACACTCTCTCATTCTCTCTTCACTCAGCCGATCTATCTCTCTCACTCCCCCTCTGTCTTAATCACTTTATCTCTCTTGATTGAACTGGACTGTGTCCAACCACCTCTCTCTCTTTTAATAACTATCTCTCTCTTAATTTTATTATGTCCAACCTATATCTTTATCCTTCTCTCTCTCTCTCTCTACCGCACTTTATATCTTCCTTGATTTAACTAGACTATGTCCAACTACTTCTCTCTCTCTCTCTTTCAGTTCACTCGCACTCGCCCTCTTTCTATTTGTATCATACTTTAATTCCCCAGTTCCTGTCTAAAGCTAGACATATTAATATTATCTGAAGTGTGAAAAATAATATTTTTTATGGTTTATTAAGACTTTGGTTGTCGAGGCCTAACTCGAGCAATCTTCAAGGTGCTGAAGAGTTTCCTATCGCTTAAACCGAAAGAATAAAAACAAAAAATTGTAGCCTTAATGTCAGCAAAGCTTGCGCAAGTTCTTTTTGCGATCAGAAGAGAGGCAAAGAGAAAGGCAGAGAGAGAGGGAGCGAATGCTATCAAGAACTGGACTATATATATATTTTATATATAAATATATATTCATGATATTTAGTATATAGACATGGGCAAATAACCCGAGTCAGGGACTGACGGGGTTTCTCATTGCCCGATTGTCGGTTGAGGTTTATATTTTTATGTTTTCGTTGGGTTTGGTTTGTTGTTGTTGCCTGCCATTCCGAGGGCTACCGTTGAGCGATAAGACACGTGAGAGTGTGTGTATGTGTGTGTGTGTCCGTCCATATAGAGGAGTGGGTTCTGCGGTCTTTCAGTTGTTATAAGCAAACATTTTGAACGCATTTGCAGAGCTGGCCGGCAAGACAAATCCAAAATAAAAAGCAAAAAGCAAAAAAAAAAAAAAAATGACCAAAGCAATGTGAATAATACCAAAAAATGAAAGTAACGCCAAACAATAAGGTGCCAACAACAACAACAGCAGCAACATTAACAAAAGAAACAACATCATTAACAACAAGCGCCTCGATAGTTAAAAAATTAGACAGCGAATCAGAACCCATTATAGATATAGCCAAAACTGACAGATCAAGTGCCACAGCGAACAGCTCAGCGCCCGCATCGTTTGTGCTTAAATGTTTGTTGCGTACCGCGCGCTTTATGTGGCAAGTGACAACGATACCCTCTAAAATTGGTGATACCATAGGCACACTGTACCGCTATGCCCAGGACTCGGTCGATACGTTTCTATGCGTAGCTGGGTGAGAACTTCGCTAGGACTATCAATAACATAAATATCTCTACAGCTATATATATGTATATAGATATATGTGCTCTCATTGCTGTTGTGCTAACAATACCCTGTATTTTTCTTGTTTGTGTCTCATTGCAGTAAGGCGCGTCGCAAAGAGCGCGATGGCGATCAAAACTCAACAGACACCAAATTGTATTTGGAGGAGAGCGTCCTTGAACGCAAACTACCTGAAGCTGATCTCAAAGCCCTTGTCGATCTTCCAGCTGGCTTGGACTACAATGAATGGCTAGCCTCACACAGTAAGTAGAGCAAATTAGCAGATATGAGATGAAAGATGTCCTCTGAACAAAGCTTTAAAAAAAGAGAGGTTTATCATTTATCAAGCATATTTAATCAAATTTCCTATGTACCCATTCTTTGCTTAAATAGGGTATATTTTAGGGTTTTTTTTTACCGAAAGTTTGACATAAGTTCTTGTAGATAGATATCTCTGCTCAGTAAAGCTACTCATATTCTGGTCTCGAAAACAACAGCACAATGAATTTGTAGATATTTTGTCTGATCTGATTAGTAGTGACTAGAGAGGTATATTAAAGTTAGCACATGTTACAGATAACAAAAGCTTAAATATATTTATTTAGTTTAATACCTCACGACACTCAATAGGCATATTGCAGAAGTATACATAGAAAATAAATAAAATAATAAAAGTAAGTTTTATTTCTGGAATTTTACTAAAAAAT